ATGGGCGTGCCCGTGTCGCTTGCCCGGCAGGCTGCCCTGGTAAACGCCACCGGCGACTCGGGCAGCGTCGAGCTAGCGGTGCCGCTCGGGCGCCCCGGCGAGGCCCTCGCGGGCGGTAGGTAGGGGCGCTCGCCGTCGCTGCCGCCGCCGCCGCCGTCGCCGTCGTCGCCGTCGCCGTCGCCATCACCGCCGCCGTCGCCGTCGCAATCGTCGTCGCCGTCGCCGTCGCCGTCGTCGTCGTCTTCGTCGTCGTCTTCGGCGTCGGGGTCGGCGTCGGCGTCTGTGTCGGCGTCGCCGTCGTCGTCGTGGTCGTCGTCGTCGTCGTCGCCATCGTCTTCGTCATCATCGTCGCCGTCGTCGTCGTCATGGCCGTCGTCGTCGTCGTCGTCGTCGTCGTCGTCACCGTCATCGTCGCAGTCGCCGTCGCCGTCGCCGTCGCGCTCGCCGTCGCCGTCGCCATCGCCGTCGCCGTCGCTGTCGCCGCTGCCAACGCCGCCGCCGCTGGCGTCGCCGTCGTTTTCGTCGTCGTCGTCGTCGTCGTCGTCGTCGTCGTCGTCGTCGTCGTATCCGTCTCCGCCGCCGCCGTCGCCGTCGCCAGTGCCGTCGCCGTCGCTATCGCAGTCGTCGTCCCCGTCCCTGTCGTCGTCGCCGTCGTCGTGGCCCTTGCCGCCGTCGCCGTTGCCGTCGTCGTCGCCGTCGTCGTGGCCGTTGCCGTGGTCGTCGCTGTCGTCGTCGTCGTCGTAGTCGGAGCCATTTTGGCACTAGTCAAGAGTCAGGAGTCAAGAGCGACAGTAATCTGCGATTCGCACAACAATATGTGAAGCGAATCCGCTCTTTGAGCGTTTTTGTGCTATCCTTGCTTCAGGGGGTTTCATTGATTTGGATTTCCTGATGGCATCGTCAGATGACGACGGTATGGACGCAGCGACATAACCAGCTCCCAAACAACGCAGGGCTACGACATCAAGACCCTCGGCGGAGATCGCAGCTGAAAATAACCTGGGGGATGAGTCTACTCGCCTCCTGGCAGCGATCGGGCATCGGAGGTGAGGGCGTGAGATCGAAGTGGAACGGAGAGCCCGCCTACCGGGAAATCGGTTTCGGTTTCGTGTTCGTGCGTGCCGTGCGTGCGGGCGAGGCGAAGTTGCGTGGGCGGGCGAGAAGAAAGTCTCCTCCGGCTGAGGCGCGGCCGGACCAAATGTTTCCTTTCTGAGGGCCGGTGCCGCGCGGTGTCCCGCCGGTGTCCCGCCTCCGGCTGAGGCGCGGCCGGACCAAATGATTCCTCTCCGGGGGCCAGTGCCGCGCGGTGTCCCGCCGGTGTCCCGCCGGTGTCCCGTCGGTGTCCCGATGATGATGATGATGATGATGATGATGATGATGATGATGATGATGATGATGATGATGATGATGATGATGATGATGATGATGATGATGATGCTGATGATGATGATGATGATGCTGATGGTGATGATGTGATGGTGGTGAATGGTGATGGTGATGATGATGATGATGTCGATGATGCTGATGATGATGATGATGCTGATGGTGATGGTGATGATGATGATGGTGTTCCGATGATGATGTTGACGATGTTGATGATGATGGTGATGGTGGTGATGATCATGGTGTCCCGATGATGATATTGATGATAAAGGTGTCGCGACGATGATGATGCTGATGATCATGATGGTGTTGATGATGATATGATGATGATAAGATGATGATGATGATGATGATGATGATGATGATGATGATGATTATGAAGATGGTGATTATGATGGTGTCCCGATGATGATGATGATGATGATGATGATGATGATGATGATGATGATGATGATGATGATGAGGTTGATGATGATGCTGTTGATGGTGATGGTGATGATGATGGTGTCCCTATGATAATGATGACGATGATGGTGTCCCGATGATGATGATGTTGCTGATGAGGATGGTGATGAGGTGATGATGATGGTTTTGATGATGGTGGCCCGATGATGGTCATAATGCTGATGTTCATGATGATGATGGTGTCCCGATGATGATGGTGATTTTGATGATGGTGGCCCGATGGTGATGGTGTCCCGATGATGATGATGATGCTGTTGATGATAATGTTGCTGATGATGATGGTGTCCCGATGATGATGGTGTTGATGATGCTGTTCATGATGAGGGAGATGATATGATGACGATGAGGATGGTGGTCTTCCGATGATGATGATGGGATCCCGATGATGATGATGATGTTGATGATGATGCTGGTGGTGACGATGGTGGTGTTCCGATGAGGATGATGGTGATGATAATGTTGATGATAATTGTGGTGAGGTGCTGATAATGGTGATGGTGTCCCGATGATGATGATGATGATGATGATGATGATGATGATGATGATGATGATGATGATGATAATGATGATGATGATAATGATGATGTTGGTGACGTTGGTGACGATGATGTTGTTGATGATGATGATGACGTTGATTGTGAGATCGATTGTGATATCGATTGTGAGATCTACAGTGCGACCGAATGTGAGATCGATTGTGAGGTCGATAGTGAGATCGATCGTGAGACCGATTGTGAGATCGATTGTCAGATCGAATGTGCGATCGATCGAATGAAATAGATCGAGTGATATCGATTGTGAGATCGATCGAGTGAGATCGATCGAGCGAGACCGATAGTGAGATCGATCGTGAGATCGATCGTGAGACCGATCGAGTGAGACGTTGGTTCCCCCCCCCCCGAACCTCCTTATCACCCGAAGGGTGGTCGTATAGGTCATAACAAGCAGCATATCAAGGAACAGAACAAGCAGCAGGGGATCCGGGCGGTGAATTAGAAGGTCCACGGGGATCAATATAAGACGGAGGAACTGGACTAGCGCATAGACACGTTCGAAGCACGTTTGAGGGCGGCGGAGGCGGGGGAGGTGAGCAGAGGAGGGAGTGGAGGGACGGGCACGATGAATACCACGACGGCGGCTTTCAATACGGCGGCGACAGCTATGACCTTCGTACCCCCAAAGAGGCGTCGTGCCATCTGCATCGGGGGATCTCCTACAACGCGAGATTCGTGCTTAAGGACTTCGCCACAAAGCACTTGAACGACATGATCATAGCAATTGAACAGGTTTTCGCGGTTGGGTACCACATCCAGCCTACGTGGTGGGTTCGTCAGCCACGAGTCTCATCCAAAAGCGGATGGACTACGACCGGGGCCAGTCGTCATCATCATCATCATCATCATCGTCGTGTTGATCTGCAGATTGCCAGTTGTCGCGTGGGTATCCTCTCTTGTCTGGGCCCGTTGAAGGCGCTGATCGAGTGGGAGCCGCACCCCCTGAGCGAGAAGGACTCCTCAATGAGGCTGTCATCCTGTTGCTCGAGCAGCAGGCGGACTACAGCAGCAGGGCCAAGGTCGTGTTCAAGGACTCCGACGGCATGTGGGAGTTTTTGAAGGCGACGAACAGCAACGAGCTTTCGTCGAGCTTGGCTGGCCCTCCCAGACGGAGAATGCGAAGAAGCAGGGGGATGATCTCTTCTGGCATGGCATCGACAAGTTCGATTGGGAAATCGAGATGTCAGTGCGCCAGCAGATAGTGACATACATCTTCGTCGCGTTTGTGGTCGAGGATCGCAAGGTCCCGCAGGGCGAGACGGAGAAGGCCGTGGATGCGTTCGACGGCATGGGCGCCGGAGTTTTCAGCCTGAACAAGATTTCGCAAGGCTTCTCAGCTGGCCTTGTAAAAGCGTTGGAAGAGGATCGGGCAGCTCACCATGTGACAAACATGCCGGGGGGCCTCATCAAGCTCACGGCCGCAGGCGTCACGCTGGAATTCACCACCAAGCTGCGCGAGATCAGTAACCCACTTCCGATCAGGACATGATCGTGGAGGAGACGAGCCATCAGGCACCGGAGGTTCCAATGGACATCGCACTTCACAGCAGTATCTTGGAACGTGCGGGGGTCTGGGCCAGAGGCCATAGGGGATGCACGTCTTGGGCTCGAGGAGGACGCGGGGTGGGACGTATTATTGTTTCAGGCAATCACACAGGCCAGGAGGTGCGTGGACAGCGTGTCGGAACAACGAGTGTTCGTTTGCCCCCCACTCATGTAGGGTCGGCGGCCTGAGATTGTGGTGCGCCACAAGACGTCAGACGTGTTACTCGGCGAGCTGGTCATGCATGGCGTCGAATTGGCAGTTCTGGCCCTCCGCCCCCGCGTCGTCGTCCTCTTACTCGCCCCCCTCGCCCGCGTCGCCCTCGTCGTCGTCGTCGCTGTCCGCCTGGCCCTCCCGGCCCTCCCTCCTCCTCCCTCCTCCTCCTCCTCCTCCTCCTCCTCCTCCCTCCTCCTCCTCCTCCTCCTCCTCCTCCTCCTTCTGCTCCTCCTCCTCCTCCTCCTCCTCCTCCTCCTCCTCCTCCTCCTCCTCCTCCTCCTCCTCCCCCTGATGCAGCCCGATCCGACGCGCATTCGAGCTGGCTCCGCGAGCCGATGCCGGCTGGTCCTGGACTGGACGGAGGCCACGGCGGAGGCGGCTTGCGACCGTCCAGAGGAGGCGAAGCCCGCCGGCGCTCCATGCCCTGAGATTTAAGTCGGGCCTGTCCCTCCACAGGAGGCATATTCAAAAATTGTCGAACATATGATAGGGACGATTTTTGATTACCTTTGATTTTTGTTTGAACATTGTTTGGGGTATTTTTTATTTTTCGTTCAAAATCCGCCTGTAGGGGGACATGCCCGACCCAACGTGCCCAGGAGGAACGGTAGGAGGAGGGACGTGGTAGCACATAGCAGGAGTGATAGGAGGAGGGACGGGGGGCGGGACTGGATGAGGGATATAACAGGACATCGGAGGAGAGACAGGAGGGAGGAGACGACGATGGCCAGGAGGATGGATAGGAGGAGGGATATGAGGATGGACAGGAGGAGTGATACCATGAGGGGCACAGAGAGGGATATGAGGATGGATCGGCGGGGGCATAGGAGGAGGTACAGGCGGATGATATAGAAAGAGCGGGATAGGAGGGGTTCGACGAAGGATAGGAGGGATAGGATCAGGGAGAGGATGAGGGGTACCAGGAGGGGTACGAAGAGGGACCGGGGGAGGGATATAAGGAGAGATATGAGGGAAGGGGTAGGAGTACGGAGGGACATGAGAGGATGAGAGGAGGGATATGAGAAAGTGTGCCATTAGAGATAGAAGGAGGGACACGAGGACGGATCGCAGCATGGATAGGAGGAGGGACAGGGGGATGGGTCAGGAAGCCGGATAGGACGAGGGATAGTATAGGAGGATGGATAGGGGGCGGGACAGGAGGGCGGAGCGGAGGATGGATAGGGGCACGGATCGGAGGAGGGGTCGGAGGGGGGAGAGAACGAGTCAGGGAGGACACTGCCCTGGGGCAGTGGTCCAGGCGGCGGCGGCGACCGAGCCGTGGAGGCGGCGACGGGCAGAGCGTTCACATCTTCTTGTGCATAGTTCATGCAGTCTTATGCCGTTTTTTAGTATCGTGTTGTCTCGTCTTATGCCGCCTTGTGTTGTCTTCCACCGTGTCGTGTAGTCTCACACCGCTTGATCTGGTCTTGTGTCTCGTTTTCCATTGTCGTGTCTCGTTTTGAGTCGTCGTCTCTTGCAGCATGACAGTCGGGTCTAGTCTTGCATTGCCTTATCGCCACATGTCGTCTTGTACGGTCTTGTCGTACTATACAGTCTAAGCCGTCTTATATCGTATTATCTCGTCATGTCGATGTTGTTTCATCGTCGCGCGATTGGTCTACATGGTCTTAAACCATCTGATGCCGTCTGGGCGAAATGGGCGGATCACCTGCGACCACACTGCAAGCAACACTGATTTCCCCAGGGATTTTCAATGGTTTTTGGGTCTCTTGAGGGGTCCTGAGGGGGCTCCGAGAGCACTTGGAACCGTCCTGTGGCCCTCGTCGGGCCTCTTGGAGGCGTGCCGGAAGCTTAATGGAACCATCGCCGGCCATCTCGAGCCGCTTTTTGGAGGCCACCTCGGAGCACTAGAGGCCCTCTTGAAGCCATCTTGAAGCCATCTTGGGCGCCCTGACCGATCGCGACCCCCCCAAAAACCTCAGGGAGGGTGGGGGGGAGGTAACGCTCCCAGAAGGGAAACGGTTTTCGGAAGAGGAAGGAGGAATATCAGTAAACCGCCTTAGCCCAGAGGGCTGGTGGGATACCAGACTCTCGGAGATCAGGGGAAACCAGAATTTGCGCATACCGCTACTACTCGGACTTCTCCCAGGGTTCGGGTGTTGCCAAAAGTGCCCCTGACCCAAGGTGCCCCCCCCCCAGATTTCCAAGGAGGCCCCCACGGCCTCCAGAGCACCCCTCACGAGACCCCAGAGGGCCCCGGGCGCTCCAAAATGGAGCGAAATGCGGGGGGCACATTGGGCCAGGGGCACCTTTAGCAGCCCCCGAAGAGTGCGTTCTGACTTGAATTTCGAGGGGAATTCTGAGCCGTGGCGACGAGGGCTCTCCAGGACGAGTGGCGCGATCTTGCACGCCACGCCAGGACGTCTGACGCGCCGAGGGGGGCCCAGGGAGGCCCAGCGTGGGGGAACGGCCGGACAGGCCAGCCTCGCGCAGTGCGTGGCCGGGCGGTGTGATTCGATGCGGGCGCCTCAGCCGCAACCCTGGGCGGCTCCAGCCACTGCCATTGCAAGCGCTGCAAGTCGCCGCCGTCGTCGCCGTCGCCGCCATCGCCGCCGCCTCCGCCGCCGCCATCGCCGCCGCCGCCGCCGCCACCGCCGCCGTCGTCGTCGTCGTCGTCGCCGTCGTCGTCGGCGGCGGCGGCGGCGGCGGCGGCGGCGGGGTCGTCGTCGTCTTCTGCGCTGGCGTCGGCGTCGGCGGCGTCGGCGTCGGCGTCGGCTTCGTCGTCGTCGTCGTCGTCGTCGATGACGCCGTCTTTGGAGGAGCAGCGGCAAAGGGAGGAGGAGGAGCAGGACGAGGAGGAGGAGGAGGTCGAGGGAGGGGAGGAGCGAGGGAGGGAGGGAGGGAGAGAGGGCAGGACGAGGGGGGAAGAGACAACGGGTGGACGAGGGGGAGGAGGAAGATGAAGCAGAGGGAGCGAGGAGTATGGCGGGGAGAGGAGGAGGCCCCCTCTCCTCGCTCTTGCGCCCCTCCCTTCCCCCCTGCCCCTCCCGCTTCCCCGCCCGACCTTCCACTTCCCTGCCTCCCAATCTAAACAAATAACCAAGAAACAAACAACAGGAGCAAAACAATGCACCAAAACTTCCCTGCCTCCCAAGCTTTTCCGGGTCGGGTGAAAGGGCAGGCTGGGGGAGGGAAGGGCACGAGACCGGCTGCGCGCAGCTGGCTTCGGCCCCGCCGCCGGGCGCTTTTCCCGACGCAGTGGCGCCGGGAGGCGCCGGGAGGCGCCGGAGGAAGCAGCTGCATGCAGCTGATCCGCCGAGCCCCCTTTGCTATCCATTATTTTCCTCTTCCTGACGTCCGCCTCGAGCATCCCAATGCTTAAATCTCCCCACCCCCTCCCACTCTTTGATCTTTGCCTTCCTCCGACACCGGCTGAAGCATGCTGCTGCGCTGACGGTACGTGTGCCGAGGAGGATGAACACGAAGAGAGAGGGACAATGAAGAGGATTCCACCATGGGCCTGCTCGATCTGAGGCGAAATCGCCCCTCACCGTGGGCACTCTGATTAGGATCGAGCGGGACACGCACTTCAGGTCCGCAGTCTGAGCTTGGTCCTCCAACTGCTCCCTCCCAGTCTCTCAATCCCTGATCCGCCCAATGTTCCTTTTCCCGCACCCGCTCCGAGCCTCGCAATCCTTGATCCCCCCGAGCGGCGCTCCAGGGGGGGAAAGCAGATGGGGGCGGGCCTTCTCAGAAGGCTCCGAAGGCCCCTGGACTCCTGGGAAGCTTCCCGAAGCCACAGGTGGCCCCTCAGAAGGCCGGAGACCTGCTCAGAAGCCCCGCCGCCTTCTGAGGAGGCCTTCTCCCCGTTCTCGCTTCTCCCCTCGGCGTGCCACCGCCTTTGGCTCTTCAGGTATAGGTCGGGCCTCCCGCCGTGGCCGCTGGGAGCGATCCGGGCCCCCCCCCCGAAGGCTCTCAGCGAGGCGCACCTGCTGGAAAGCATCCCGGGGCACAGGCGACAACGACAGGAGACGTAGAGTTTCACCTCTCGGCGCGCCGCCGACACTCCTTTGGTCCTGCTCCCGGAGGAAGCAGGGACGACCACCACCACCACCACCACCACCACCACCACCACCACCACCACCACCACCACCACCACCACCACCACCACCACCACCACCACCACCACCACCACCACCACCACCACCACCACCACCAGGCGGCCACCTCCAGCGAGGGGGTTCCGCGATGCCTCCCCGAGCTGGGGAGGGGGGATGTCTCGAGCGAGGAGGGGGGCCGCGACCACACCACTGGAAGGACCTTCCCTGGCGCCCGGCGCCGGCGGTGGTGGTGCCGACTCTCGCCTTCCTCCTGCCTGGGCCTGGAGGGTTTCTCCGAAGGGCTTAGGTGACCCGTCCTCCTCCTCCTCCTCTTCCTCCTCTTCCTCCTCCCCCTCTTCCTCCTCCCCCTCCTCCTCCTCCTCCTCCTCCTCCTCCCCCTCCTCCTGCTCCTCCCCCTCCTCGCCCTCCTCCCCCTCCCCCCTCCCCCTCCCCGGGCCGCCTGCGGCCCCGGGGGAAGCCGTCCAGCCCCCGGCCCGCCCGCACCCACAGCCTCCCCGCTCCGTGCTCGCAGCCCGCCCCACCGCGCCTGGGGCATCTCGGAGGTTCGCTGCTGTCGCTGCCCCTCCGCCGCGTGTCCTCTGTGGCAGCTCGCGCTCGTGCGTCTCTCGCGAGCCCTCGCTCGGCCCCCCCCCGCTCGCAGCCCCGCGCCGAGCGTGCGGGAGTCCGCGCTTGACTCTATGGTGAAGTCGGGCACGTCCCTCTACAGGAGCAGTGTCAAAAAGTAGTAAAACATAGTCTGGGGGCTGATTATGTTTGACCATTGCGTGGTTGCTTTCCTATTTTTCGTTTCTCGCCCCAAATCCTTATTCTCCGTCCGAATTCCGCCCGCATGGGAACCTGCCCGACCTGACTCGATTGACCGACGTCCAAGTACGCTCCCTCGGCTCTCCCGAAGCCGGAACACTGCGGGAAGCGACGGAGAAGGTCGGGCGACGCCCCGCCAACCCCAGTCCTCACCCAACTCTTGGTCCTTCGGGGGTGGACAGAACCCCCAACAGTGACAGGTCGATCAGTGAATTGTCCGTTTTCGGTTCTCGAGAGGGCGCCGTGGCCGTTATTTTCCAGGCTTGCGCCCGCCAGGTTTGGGCCTCAGGTCGTTTTCACTCAACCACGTTTTACTAAAGGGGGGGCCGTCCATCCCCGAGTCCTCCGAAAACCAGCCTGATCCGGTATAGCCCCGCTCGATCCCGCTGAATCTGGCTAGCTCCATCTTGATCTGGCTGAAGCTTCGGCTTAACCTGGGCTGATCCAGCTCAGTGGCCGCCCAGTCGGGCTCAGTAGCCCTGGGTCGCTCCCACGAATACCTCCCAGGAGTTGCCTCCTAGCTCCTTGGTCCTTCTCCTCCTCAGAGGAGGAAGAGGTACCCATACCGCTACCCTTCCCTCGTCGCCACGGCTGAATTCGCATCGAAATCTTGGTCAGAGCGCGCCCCAGGAGAGGTCCGTGGAGTGGTGGCATGGGTGCATTTTGGCTTCCCCACCTCCTGCTTCCGCCCCGAGGCTCTCCCAGCCCTCGGCCATCCAGCTCTTTCCCCGTGTGGCATCGACATATTCGAGCGCGGTCAGGACGCAGCCGGTCTTGCACAGGGGAGGGGGAGGAGGAGGAGGAGGAGGAGGAGGAGGAGGAGGAGGAGGAG